CAGCCCCCAGAAGCAGCCAGCCTTAGCATACCTGACTCTCAGTCATTGGCGGGGGTGCCCTTGGGAAACACAGCATCGGCCACCACAGGGACAATCTCCTCGCCCAGAAGCTGGGGCCATGGGTCAAATACGCTGCCTGGGCCGACGATGCATCCACATGGCCGCCACCAAAATAAACCCCTTCTTTTCCAAAATGAAGGACCAGGAAGAAGGCAAGAGGAATGGCTTTGTAAACTCCTAACAGTGGAAATCTGTCCATAAAAATTTACTTACAACGAGAAGCCCAAATAATTCCCTTGTGGGAAGCCAACATGCAAAAGAAACTCCCCTGAGCTTTAAAAATTCATTCTTTTATTATTCCCTTGGCCCCAGAGTTCATTCTTTCATTGTTCCCTTGGCCCCAGAATTCATTCTTTCATTGTTCCCTTGGCCCCAGAATTCATTCTTTCATTGTTCCCTTGGCCCCAGAATTCATTCTTTCATTGTTCCCTTGGCCCCAGAATTCATTCTTTCATTGTTCCCTTAGCCCCAGAATTCATTCTTTCATTGTTCCCTTAGCCCCAGAATTCATTCTTTCATTGTTCCCTTGGCCCCAGAGTTCATTCTTTCATTGTCCCCTTGGCCTCAGAGTTCATTCTTTCATTGTCCCCTTGGCCCCAGAGTTCATTCTTTCATTGTTCCCTTGGCCCCAGAATTCATTCTTTCATTGTTCCCTTGGCCCCAGAATTCATTCTTTCATTGTTCCCTTGGCCCCAGAATTCATTCTTTCATTGTTCCCTTGGCCCCAGAATTCATTCTTTCATTGTTCCCTTGGCCCCAGAATTCATTCTTTCATTGTTCCCTTAGCCTCAGAATTCATTCTTTCATTGTTCCCTTAGCCTCAGAATTCATTCTTTCATTTTTCCATTAGCCCCAGAATTCATTCTTTCATTGTTCCCTTAGCCTCAGAATTCATTCTTTCATTGTTCCATTAGCAAACTTGAGAAAGACTCTACTGATGTGGATGAACAGAGACTACAGGGGGAAGTGTCAACTCCAGGAGGCAGCACTGAGTCAGGGAAGCAGGTGTCCCTGAAGTTCCCAGTGGGTGAACAATACACAGTGACAGAGAAAGATGTGTGACCAGACTTCCCATGAGCTAACAGGGAATTTTAACCTATGACTCATCCCGGGGTGGGGTCCAAAGCTGCAGGGGACACCACCCCACGCCACACCGTCTCACCAGCCAGATTGCACATTTCCTGAAAGTAATCCAGTCAGAAACCGGCTTCTTGGCAGCAGCCCCTGGTGGAAACATGACTGCCAAACGCCAAAATGAGGATGAGTTCAATGATTTAATTCTGCGTGGAAAACACAATCCATTAAACGGGACCTGACAAGGCCTTAATCTCATCCGTAGCCGAGGGTGTTGGCTGAGCGCAGCTCTGCTCTCTGCAATATATTCTCAGTAAGCTATGTATAGAACCAGGAGCGCTTTTGCCAAAGCCCAAATAAGTCCATTCGACGTGGGAAGAGAGGCCCGTCGGGCCCCCAATCATTCCCCAGGGAGTGAGCGTGCTCTTCTCCCAAACGCAAAATTACCAAAACCTGGCAACGCAACCTAGGTTGGGAGTCACACAATTCAAGGGAAGCCACCGAGATGGCCGATGCCCTGGACGGCTTCAGAATTCCCACCACCGTCCAGGAGATCAGGCCAGTGGCCAGCCTTGCTCCCACTCACAGCCGGGTCCTCTGCACAACCCAGGCACAGAAGAGGGGGGGTCAGGGCGTGGAGAATCAATCCTCTCCTAAACACGGTTCTGAAAACTGGGAGAGAAGGAATTGGGGGCTGTCCCGCCATTAGCTCACTTAACCCTAGTCACCGTCCCCAAGGTCTGTGTTGCTATTTCACTGTCTCCATTTGTAAAATGGGGAAACTGAGACTCAGAACCATGACTCAGATGACGTAGTTTGGAAGAGTGTTGGCAAACTCACAGCCGTGGTATTCCAAAGCCCATGCCTCTCTACTCAGAGGGGGTCCTCGGGCCATCGCATCCCATGGGAGCTGTGAGAAATGCAGATTCCCAGGCTGTGAGCCAGACCCAATGAATCTGCGTCTGTGTTTAATAGGATCCTCCCCAAGGACTTTGTGAGACATGAGGTTTGAGAAGCACTGAAGGGGTTCCTATCCAAGAGGGGCAGGTGCATTCAAAACCTAAGTTTAGACTAGAAAAGGGATTTAGTACAACAGAACAGGGTCAGTCTCATATATACACTCCACATTCAGATTAGTAGCCCCAATCACACTATCTTATTTCACCAGCAACAAACCCAGAAGCATAAAAGCCAAGGTTAGAGAGGGCGTAGCTTTGGAGCCGGTGGACTGGGTTCAAATTTCCAACTCCACCACCTGCTGGGTGACTTCGAGTAAGTGGCTTGATCTCTCTGAGACTCGGTTTCCTGACCTGTACACGCGGGATAACATTACTCACCTTGCCTGTGGGGTTTGGGCGGATGAAATAAGCAAATGAATGGACAGCTCCTGGACATAGCAGATGCCCAATAAACACTGGCTTCCCTGGCATCAGTGCCATCTGGGCTGGGCTGGAGGCTGGGGAGAGTCGGGCTTCCAGCAGCCAGTTCTTCCCTGTCCTCTTGGGTCCTCTAGTGGCCAGTACTGAGTTCCCCGTCACGGATCAGATTGGCTGGGCTTGTCTGTGTTCCCTACACTCCAGGTTCACTTTACTTTCTTCTCTTTTAAGAAAAACCTGAGCCAAACAGCAGGTTCAAAGGGACAGGTCTTGAGGAACCAGGAAAACGGGCACCTGTGGTGCAGTTCCCAGGAGTGTCCACTTCCAGACACCGGAGCCTTTTTATTCAGTCATGGTTCCCACTGTCTTCCTTTCAGAAGTTTCCGATTTTGAAAGCAGTCTTTTCACGCCAGAGGCTTGGTGAGCTTCCAAGCCCACAGTGCCTGCCCTGGAGCACAAACCCCACGTCTGACCCTGTTTCCTCTGTGGATAGAGGCTTGAGTGGGTGCTGAGCAGGAATACAAAATTAGTCCTTACCGAGCACATCCTGGGTGTCAAATACTCAGCTTGTCTCACATGCACTGTCATCTATTTTAAACAACCCTGACACGTGAGCATCTTTACCCCTATTTCACGGGTGAAAAAACTGAGGTCAAATTAGATATGTGGCCTGCTCAAATGAACATAGCAAAATAGTTTAGATATTAAATACCCCAGGGATCTCCAAGTGCAGAAGCAGAAGCAGCACCCAAAGCTTGTTTGAAAGGTCCATCCTAGGACCCCACCCAGACCTGGAGGTGAGCCCGACAACCTAACAGCCCTCCAGGCAATGGGGATACTACAGAGTAATCAAAACAGTTAGAATGGTTAGGGACAGCTGCATTGGAGAATATTCACCCTCTGGCATTGCCTTTGAAATCAGCGACCTTCCTTGGAAGAAAGAATGGTTCCAGAATAGCTCATGGCTGTATTATGGAGTCTAATAAATGAATTACCAACGCCTGTGGATTTATCAAATGAAGTCCATGGTCATCAGTACATGTTCTGTATTAGAGAGCACTGAGGGAATGTGAAGAGAAGGGGTTACAGTGATGATGGTAATGGAGTTGGGCGAGCAGACAAGATGCTCTTTTCATGAGAGTAACTCTGTAGCTGTTTATGATGAACCTGGTCTTGGAAGGAAAGAGTAGCTACAAGAAGACTGTGCGTGAAGGGGTTGACTCCACCACACGCTCCAAGACAAGAACCCACAGACCCAGAACGGCATTCCACCCACCCCGCCCCCCCTCCACCACAGGGAACCGCAGGGAATCGCAGGTTTATGGACTGTACTTCTCTCTACTTCAATGGGTTTTATTTTGTTTAAACCCTCACAACGTAGTAACCAAACCCATACTATGAATAATAAAAGCATTTGCCTTGCAATTCTCGTTCCACCACTGCGTCCACCACATTCTATAAAGAAATCCAACCCCTATTCATCACTCCTTTTCAGAACTCATCTATAATTCAACCTCCACTAAGAACCTTCACATAATGAAATGGCTTTTACTGAGCGATTACACACATCACCTGGACGCAAAAGAGCACATTTTTCAAATACATTTCATGGACTCCAAGGGTTGTCTGCACTGTTTGGGGGGGGGGCGCAAGCATTCTATGAGCTTTATATGTTCTACTAGGCATGTGGAGAATATGAAAGCATTGCCTAATGAAAGAAGTAAAATTAGGGTAACAGAGAGAAAGGATGGGAGGAAGGCAGGCCAGCAAAATCATTAAATCATAACTTCTGATACCAGTACTTCTGTGCATTTCAAATGTGAATTTGAAAGACCCATTTGGAGAAAAGAAATCGTTTTATACGCTTCATCCATACCCAGACCGGTTCTCATTTAATATGGTGAGAAGGTAAGGGACAGTGTTGTGATGAAAGTGGAGTTCAAATCAGAAAGAAAATCCAGGAGGCCTTTGCAGGAAGATGCAAGACTGAAGGAAGAGCAAGAACAGAGCAAACAGCGGCTTGGAAACCACGGGAGATCCTCCCTTCCTTCCAGGAGGCAGCACCTCGCACATCTCTTACAACCAGAAACCTCCCCCAGCAACAGACTCTAAGGGCCCAGGGCTGAATTCATTTCCAATGCGTGCTTTTTCTCCGCACACTTATCTCCGTGCGTCATCCTCCTTTGAAGCAAAAGACTCATTAATCCAATTCAAATTGCCAACTTCAGTAAGTCCTTTGCCTCAGCATTCAAATGCCAATACCAATTAAATGCCAACAGCAACTTAACTACTGATATGCTCTTCACCACATTCAGGAAACCCAGCCAGAAGTCCAGCCCGCATGCATTCCAACACTCCCTCCTCAATGCTAATTTACTCAGTGGGAACACAGGAGGAAATTTGCTGGCCACGCTGACGATGCACCCAACTGGGTTGAAATAACTCCCCAAGCAAATAAGAAAGAACCAACTGGGGTGCAGTCCGCCAAACCTGAAGGACGTCTTCACCAAGGCTTCCGGGCTATCGAGCTGAGGCAGCTCATCGGCGAGGATCTGCTCCGGGGGTCGGGGGTCGTGGACAATCGTTGGCCGTGGCTTCTCCTTGACATTCCCTGTGAGCCCGTCGATGATGGAGTTCCACAGACAGTTCTGCGACTTGGACCCTGAAGCATGAGGGGGGACAAAGGGGTGCAGGTGAAGGACCAACCAATTCCATGCCCTGCCTTGCCCAACGCAGGAGTTCAAAAGCAGAGCAGGGACACTTACATAGTTTTCACAATCACTACCAACCTCAGAGGGCTCTCAAGGAGACCGGTCAGGCAACTTCTGAAGTAAAAAGTTAATTTTTTCATTTCTATGCAGAAAACAGGCCAACACTCTGACTAGTTTGACTCGTAGCTAGTATAATAGATATTATATATTCTGTCTTATTTCAGGGGCGATCAACTCCAACTCCTGACAGAGCTGTGGGTGTGTTTGAATATATTTATCCAAGTCGACAAAAGACTACTATTTCAGAGAACAGTAGGGATGTTCAGACACAGGACTCCTCTATGCACTTAGCTTGCCCAAGGCCTGGGTTTCAGGATTCCCTTCCATGGAAACACCACCACCACCACTCCCCCAAAGAGGGCTCCACCTCTAAGAACTAGAACTCAACACAGGCAGGTTTGTTCTTCTGGAAGATCAGGACCCAGGGCAATGACACTGAGTGTAGAAGCACCTAATAGCTTTTTTACCATTTTCTCAGTCAGTGAATCAGAATGGTCATGTGACCTAAGCTAACTCTTTATTAGGGCTCCCAAATGGACATGTGATAACCCCTTCAAAAGTTGTACCAACAGCTACGAAGATACCCTGGCAAGTTTAAAAGGAGATTGTAGTAGAAGCCATAAATAAGATTCGCTCACCATTCATTCCCAACTTCCATTTCCCTTATCTTCCTCTTCTAAAGAGGCTAGAAAACAACATACTCAATTTTCCAGCCTCCCTTACTGCTATGGCTAGCCACATGTTATAATCTTGGCCAATGAAATGTAGGTGAAAATTCCTGGGGCTAGTGACTCTTGCTGAATAAAAAGTTAGGTCTCAACAAGAAAAAAAAACATTTTAGTCCCTTTAAACTTTGCCTTCCTATTTTTCCCCTTTGCCCTTCTTTCTTCTTCCTACTGGAAGACTCGGTGTTAGAGCTCCAGCAGCCATCCTGTGACCATGAGGTGGCAAGCATTACGACAAAAGCCTACATCTTGCGTCTGGAAAAGTGAAGAGGTGGGAAAAACCTGGGTCTCTGGCAGCATAGTTGAACAGATTCCCTGATTTCCAGATTTCTTGATGTCAGACATATATCTATTTATTACAACCTTAGGTCTTTGTTTGTAGCCAAATACATTCCAAAATGTTACATGCATGCTCATCGCATAATATAAAGGTGTTCCCCATATACAAATGGTACCATCTATAAAGCACTAGGAATAGATATTTTAATAAATCTTCCAATTATCTTGTGAGAGGCATAAATACATTGCATACTTCTCTCGTGTAAAAATGATTAATTTGTTACATGTGAACAGTTAAAACACATCACAATTTTTATAAGTTATTTTGGCGTTTCTTTGCTTTTTTTGTAATATTCTGGGAAACTCAAAAAATGGAAATAGCCTATGTTTCTCTTGACCTTTGAGAGTCCAAAGAACAATTACTCTCATGGGATGGTCCGTGGTTTGTTTGTTTTTTGTTTTGTTTCATTTTGTTTTTAAACTTTAAGGGGGGGTGAGGGTCTTCGCTCAAGAAAATGTTGGGAACCAGCAATATAGTTACTCATGTTCCACCTGGGAGATGTGCATGAGCCTAGCACTGGAGTGATCAGCTAGACGGCAAGTCAGCCAGGAGAAAACACGGGGTCTGGTAAAGTCTGATGATGATGAAGACACAGAGACAAGGGTGGTGTTAGGAGATAAGCAAGTAGAATCCATCAGACTTGGTAACGGATTGGGTGCCGAGGATAAAGAAGGGAGAAGTGTCAAGAGGGGTTAAGGTTGCGTGGGGCAGCCGGGTAGACTGTGATGCCATGAGAAACTGCTGGGGCAGAGCTGCCTGTCGGCCCACAGTTGAACCATGTTCTGAAAAGTTGCATTTCAAGATAGAAAACACAGACAAAGGTCCTCTCCATATTCATGAAGAGGAAGCAGGCAGATGATGCAGACGTGATTCAAACGAGAAAACTGTATGTCAGCAAGCACCTCTATCGTGACTAAGTTTTCACAGCATGATAAAGTGGAAAAATGGCCGTCCTCGCCAAATTCAAATGATAGTAAGAGAACTAAAATAATAATAAATGTTTTAATACATTATTTTTTTTAAGTTCAAAAAAGAACAGAAAATGATGAAGGACTTTCAGTAGAAGATATCTAGAAATCACTGGTAGGTTTCTGTCATACAGACAGGGAGAGCGCCAGCTTCTCCTGAGCATTGAGAAGGGTCTTGGCTCATGTGGGATGGTTCGTGTTATCCCCCAGGTATCTGAGTCTCTGTCTATTTTTCCTTGGTATTTTCCCCTAATAATAAATATCTGAAAGAAGGGCTACCAAAGCCGCAGCCCTGGCCTGGAGTGTTTCAGCCAGTTAACTGAGTTGATAAAAGCTGTAATTAAGTAGAACTTGGGCTCCAGCCACAGGGTCTCATTATAATAGTTTATAGTGCAGTCCCACCTATAACCTGGCCCTCAGGCACAAACCCCGGAGAGACCCAGGAGGCTGGTATGACATGGGGCACTGGGAGAATTTTACTGATTTGTTTTCATCTCTTTCAGATGGTAAATTATTGGCAACAGTCTGCTTTAGGTGAGTAACACCGCACAACATGGAAAAGACTTAAGAATATTGGCTATGCCTTGGGGGTGAGTTCACTGACACTTGCCAACCATCCACAGAATGGACGAGGTCTGTGCCCCTGGTACTCTCGCACAGCGAGTGTTGAGCACTTCAGAGCTCAGTGCCGAACATGGAAACCTTTCCCATGCCGTCCCTCTCTCAAGAAGCTTTGGAAAGACAGAAAAAGCAAGACAGCTGCTGGCTGGTTCAGACTACAGCCAGTCTTGGGAGAAACAGCCCGTTTTCCCCTACTCCCCATTCCCGTCCCCTCCATTGTCAAGAAAAATGGGCTAAAAAGTCTGGTGGGTACCCTGTCTAGTCGCTTGTCTTGTTTATCTCCACTTTTTTCATTATCTTGGAGCTATTCTATGGTTCTGTGCATCAGAGAAAGCTGACAGAAATGCAAATGACTTGTTTCTAGCAATGTAGGCTGTGTCCCATGGGAAGCAGTTCATTATTGCCCTGTTGATACTGATGAGTGTGGCCAGTTTGCAGCCACAAAGCAAATTCACTGCCGCGTTCCTGATGGGCTTGTTCATTTGCCTGCTCATTGAATTCTCCTTCAAACCAGCTGTAAGGTCTTACTGGTTTCTTCATCAATTCATGGGTTCAATAAGGTCTTTGATACATGTTCACTTTGTATGTGCATGATTTTTTAATTATTCTTTAGCAATATCAAAGTCCTCATCTTGCCCATGACCAACACCTGCTACATCCCCATGAGAAATTAATTCCCCTAGAATTAGCCTAACCTAGTGGCATTGTGCAATGCCCTTCTTTATCCCCAATATTTTTTCTTGCTTTCAGGTCAGCTCTGTTTGAAATTAATATAGCTACTCCTGCTTTCTTTTAAGTAGTGTTAGCATGGGATATTTCTCTCCAGCAATTTACTTTTAACCCATATGAGTCTTTATCTTTAAAGTTTCTTGAGGATAACCACAGGTGGATTTGGTTTTCTGATCCACTCTCACAATCTGTGTCTTTTAATTTGTGCATTGAGACCATTAACATTCATAACTACTGATATCATTGGATTAATTTCTACCATATTCATTACTGTTTTCTATTTGTTGCCCATATTTTTTGTCCCTATTTTTGCATCCCACAGTTGCTGTTGTTTTTGCCTTTTGTGGTGTTAATGAACCATCCTAAATGATTCCATTTGATCTTTTTCTTAGCATACTGGTTATAATTTTTTTTAGTGTTTTCCCTAGAGTTCACAGTATACACTTACAGCTAATCCAAGGCCACTTTCAAGTAGCACTGTACCACTTCACAGGGAGTGTGACTGCCATCCCTGTGTCACTGCTGTCAGAGGTCTCAGAGGACCTGTGGGTGATGCTCAGAATGATGCTTGGGAGGAAGGAAGAGGGAGCATTTATCTGCAGACTCTGATCCCTCAGACAAGGGTAACCCCACAGGATGTTTATTCCTGAGCCCTGCCGGATCTACTATGAATGACTGTGGGACAATTACCACCTCAGCGGAGAAACCCTAGGACAGAAATCAAGAGAAGACAGTATAGCTAGAGCTTAAAAATGGGCCACGAGGATGGGAGGCTGGGCTCAATAGGTACCCAGTGTATAGAGCTCCCCGTGTTTCTGTCCTAGAAAATACAGCCAGTCCCCGTCTGCCCCTCATTCTTGCAGGAGGGTCCCAGCGGCCCTGGGTGTAGCCCAGCTCATGCTCCTCTGGCTGCGGTCCTCCCAGGCGTGGGCAGCAAGTGCTCCAGGGACACTGGTGTGATCTGCTCCGACAAAGTGAAAAAGGACATTTCCCTGCTCTGATTTATTTAAGCTGATTGTGAAAGCATGAGATTCCTCTGACTAAACAGAGCAAAAATATGGAAACAGATAGTCACATGGGTCTCTCTCAATAATACCTGAAGCCCGAGAGGGAAGCCATAGACCACACCTGGGGGGGGGGAGGGGCAACACTACCGCGGCTAGGAGGTGAGCAGCTCTGTTCAGCCGCCCCCTCGCTCACTCCGCTTTCCTCTCTGCTTTGACCTGTTCCCGGCTCCCACTCAATGCCTAGGACGGTCTCCTTTCCCGCTACCTCCCTCTGCTCCTGCCATCAATCCTCTCCCCGCTCTTCACAAAGACAACTTTTCGTGGACCCCATGAGCCTCCAGGGTGATTCTAGAGCTTCCAGAACCATAAACTCCGGCAGCAGCACCCACACCACTGAGCGCATCGAGAGAACCAGTGCCAGCAGCAGATGCAGTGAACATGGCTGGGTGCCGGCGTGGTCAGCGGCCCTCACCTGTCACCTTGGTTCACCCTAAGTCAACA